CTTGTAAAATCTGCACTGCAAAATGGCATGTTCTCAGCTTTCAATTTCAGCAAAGGCCCAGGGACATCTTCAATGAGAAAGGGAGTCTCTCTTGTTATCTTGCTATAAGTGCATCCCTGATTACAGAGGGAAGGTCATTGGGCTACAGTATAGAAAAGCCCCAGCAATATTGAATTGGATAACTTATATCGGTACAATATTGTGTGGGTTGCAGTTTCCTTGATTTGTTATAAAGTTGATATAGCTTTGGGCAACTGCAAGGTTATTTTGAAGTCCTGTTTTATCTAGCCTTTGTTTGATGTCCTCCTTTGTTTTATCAAATCTCAGGGTTGAAACGAAATCAAGAGACATATATAAACCTATCCTGGCCCTTGATGGACACTACATGCCTTGATGGTTACTGATTCTACAGCTTTGGAGGGTTTTAAGACATTGCTTTAAAATCCAGTCCCCAAACAATATCAAAATAAGTGTGGATATTATAGCCAGTACTTGTCTCTATAATATAACTATCAGCTCTCCCAACAAACATTCATCTCTTTCTAGTCACTAGGATCTCAAAGTATGTTTGGAGATAAATTCCACCGGAGTCAATGGAACTAATCTTCAAATAAAAGTGCATTTTGATTTTAAGCAATATTGATTGCAACCATTCAGTGTGCAGCAGAGGAATACCTTATATCTTTGGATCATATCAGCAGTAAGCAATTTATGGGTGAGTGAAAGTACCCAGCTAGATATAAATGCCTATGTTTGTGTGTCTTTGAACTTCAGAATTCCGATAGGTGAGGCTTAAAAAAGGATTCTGTTTGAAGAACCATCTCTGCAGGTCCTGGAATGACTGCAAGATGCAGAAGATCTAATTGTTCTGGTCCTTTGAAATCTGATGCCACTTGAATTGTTATTTTGGGACAATTTCTTACAGGTCTCTAGCTTAGTAATAAAAAAAGAGACCAAAAGAGACCATCCTTAATGGATGTACTGAATATTTATTTTAGAATAAGTAAAAGAATTTACCAGTGCACAAAAATGTTGGTTATTAGCCAATGTAATGGAAGACATGCTTATTTTTTATAGTTTCCTATATGGAACACAGGAGCTTCAAATAAAAAGAAATGCCTCTCAAAAATCTGTAGATATTTATGGTAATATACCCAGCTTGTGCAGAAATAATATGTTTATTGGTAACTTTGGTAATTTCCAAGACACTTGGAGCTTAAAACAAAGAAGAACTCAGCCAAATGTCACTACTTCTTATATATTGCTTTCCATTAAAAGTAGATTATTCTGAATTAGCTGGGAAGTTCAAATGTGACAAAAATGTCACTTTATTGCCTGAGTTTTCACCAAGCAGCCTGGAAAACAGTATAAGTTGGTTAGCTGAGTTTTTTTTTAATTGCATCTACAGCATGGAACATGCCATTGTGACCAGAGGTGGTATATATCAAGGGAAGTTCTAATTGCATTTTAACAATAAGAATGTATATACCTTTGCTTTTATTGCCTTTTAAAAACACCATTGGCTATGCATGGTTGCAGATGACTTTTTTTTCTATTGTAGCCACCACTTGTTAATTTACCTTGGTCTGCATTTTCCAGATGGGGTAATTTTGTTAATCTTGTTATAGTGAATACATTATTTACCTACATCTAGTGGCCCTTGATAGAGTATTAGATTTGTTTTGGCACACAACTAGAATCTTGTATTCAGAAGCTGTATGTGCCTGAAAGTGGTGATTGGATCACAATGCAGTGAAGAATATTTTCCACCTTTCTGTTTGGCTTTGGGGTTTCCAAAGACCTCCTTTCTGTTTGGCTTTACAAAGAAATACAGTTGATCTATGTCGGAACATGGTAGTGATCTAATCCAAGTGGAGCTTTTCTGTGATTGGACTCTGCTTCATTAAATGAATGGTTTTAAGAAAGGGTACCTCATTGCAAAACATCCCCTTTGATTAAAAACAAAAACTGAATAAGGAATTAGTAATTCTTGGCCCAAATATCTAGGAGCCTAGAAGTTATGCAGGGTTAGTATCTGGTTAGTATCTGGTTAGTACTTGGATGAGATGACTTTAGGGAATAAGATGGATGTAAACTAGACTAGGAAGAACATTAAGAAAATCTTCATGGTTATGTCCATGAAGTCATCAGGAATTGAACTTGACTCAGATGGAACTCCAGTGAGAAAGCAATCTAGATAGAGATGGTAGAAAAGCTACCAGGCAGCCCAAAGAATGATGCTTGAGGAGCTCATCCTTCAGTATGATCTTTCTTACCATTTGTTGGGCAAGTAAGGAAAAGCTTGAGTCAGTCTTCCCTATTGTGGTGACACTGCAAGCCCCCCCTGTTTAAAAATGGAAGGGATTTTTTCCCCCATAGTATCTTCCCTTGAGATTTTACTGAAATCATAAAATTTAGCATGTGGTTTGACAGGTGATAATTAAAGGCAAGGGACGTTCACTTAAATCCTTTACTTACCTCGTCAAGAAAGAGGTTAAAAAAATTATACTCCAGCCAGCCACCTGGATTTCATGAACTTTCTGTAATGGTTTGATAGAATTTCCAAAGTCAGTTATCTTCCAAGTATTGTGTTGTCTTACTCCTGGTGACATAGCATCACCCGTGGAAAGTCTGAAGTTCTCCCTTTCTCCTTCTCTCCAGCATTATCTGCTACGAAGCCAAGTTTCCAGCTTTCAGTTTACAAAGCATTCAGTAGAACATTTTTTGAAAGGGTTACTAAAGTCCTGATGAAGACCTCAATCTCTATTCCAGATACACTTCTCTCTCCCCCCTGTGTTGCCTCTGGGCTGGATTTTGTGGGTGTTACTGCAGCTGTGCATACTGGTAATGATCCTTATACAACATATTTCTGGTCTGCTATGTTCCCTGGAGGATCTTGTGAGCTTCAGTTGAACTGGGCCTGTTTTATGAGTGATTTAATGTGGTGTAAGCAACCTGCGTACATTGTGTATGAGTGTCTGAGAATGAGACAGAACGCACTGCTGCTGTTGATATCACATTATTTTATTAGAGTTTCAAAGCTGATATTAAGTGGACATGATTTCTTCCTATGGACCATTAATTTTGTTTTATTGCTGGCCTGATGGCCGTTACCCTCCCCTTCTTGCCAATACATTCCGCCATTAGGCTTGTACAATTAACAAAATATGAACTGTTTAAGGCATCACTTTGAACAATGGGTCAGTGCAAAAGAGGGCTGGGAGTGTGTGTGGGGGGTGTATAGGAACAATTTGTGGTAATGGGTGGCTGAGGAGTGGAAGGAGGCAAAAAAAGAGGAAGATTTGAGCTGTTTCACATGAGGTATTTTGTAGTAAATGACAGATACATACGTAGTTTCTCATTGGGTAACCATGCACAAACTTTTTTAAAAATCCCAAGATTAATCTAACAAATTAATCATATAAATGGCTAGCTTGTTAACTAGATACTTCTAATATTTTTGCATATGATTCAAATAGCTTTACTTTGAGAAAAGTATGTGAAAGCAATGTGCAAAGAACTATCATAAGAGGGTGTGTGTATGTACGTATGTACGTATGTACGTATGTATGTGTGTGTGTGTGTGTATATATATATATATATATATATATATATATATATATATATATATATGGAGAAAAAGGAGTTATAATCTAAAGCTGCCTTTTCCTGTTTTCTTTATTTCTTTATATAATTCTCCAAATCACATAAAATAATTTAACCTAGCAAGGGTTTAAAATTCTACTTCTTTTTGTAGGTATGTTTTCTATCATTCAGTGCTTCTGGACATAGCTTCATTTAAATATAGTATATGTAGTGTTTCACATTTATTCTTAGAAAAAAACTTGCCCTTTAATATACATTCCCCTGATTATCTTCTACTTTATATCAATTTCCATGATGCAGTTTTGTAAATAGACATTTTTCTGATGTAAGCACTGTTTCTCTTTACATCACTTCATAGCACTTATATCCACTCTCTAAGCAGTTTACAGAGTCAGCCTCTTGCCCCCAACAATCTGGGTCCTCATTTTATTGACCTTGGAAGGATGGAAGGCTGAGTCAACCTTGAGCCAGTCAGGATTGAACTCCTGAGCCACCATGCTCTACATCTTTCAATGTGTAACTTTTATAGATGTATTTATTTTTGAGCGTATTTCTCATATACATTTTTGTGAAGCTTTTGATCTGAGAAAGATGGATGATAACCAATGCGTTAGTTACACCCCTCAATGCTGAAGCAGAGACTATTTAAACTTTTACATTTATCCATTCCTAAAGAAATTTATCAGAGATTTATTTTATATGTCTTATCAGCACTATTGCTGACAGAAAGTTCAAACTGAGTTTTCGCTGAGTTGAATCTTAGTGTTCCGCTCATTGTACCATATTTGGGGATTTTAATTTAATGGTGGGAATCCTCAGATCAAATGACGTAAAGCAGTATAAAATTTTTACAGACTAAAGTCAGTCATAAAACAAAATTCCAGTTCAGCAAAGGCAGTTGTAAAACTGGGTTTCCTTTCAAAGCAATTGTGACAAGAAATTAAATAAAAGAACCCACTTAATGAAGAAATGCAGTTTAAATACATCAGAAGTTAAACTTTCCATCTTGCTTTAAACCTTCAATGATGGATTAGCTGTAAACATATTTTCATCCACTAGCAAGTATGTTTGAAGTGAAAGATTGATGCATTTGTTTTTCTAAAGATTTATTATTACTGGTACAATCTTAAGAGAAATATTCAATATTAGCGAATCCTAATCTTTTGGCTAAATCTCCTTGCTACTTCAACACTCAATCCCATATCCTTTAGACTTCCAAAGAGTGCTCTGCCCTTCATAAATTAGTTTCTGGTTTAGTTATATGATTACATTTTCACAATCCTGATTACGTATTGACTTTCCAACTTTGGATTTGTCTGTTTTCTTTTCCAAGATGGTAATTTTTGCTGAGATTGTGGCCGTTTCTAATGCAATGCCCTTTGCTGTATTCACAGATGCTTACTGGAGTTGGATCCTGAGGCTTCTGCCTTTCAAGCTAGTAAGTGAAAATTATTGCTAAATTGTCCTGAGCTCGGCTGTGAAAAATCATACCAGAAGTGTGATGTTTTTGCCATGCCACAAGGAGTCTTATAGCAAAACCCTTACTGTTTTAAAGTTTAATGAAATTAATAAATTCAGATAGGATGAAAAAAAGCTCATACAGAATCTGTTTCTTTAAGTTAAGACTTTCTGAATAGCAAACTATAGTGTGCAAAATCTCTCTGTGTTTGAGCCGTGCAACCCTATGAAACTCTCAAAACTTGAAGTTCATACTAAAAATAAAGCTGACAAAGCTAATAGCCAGCATTTACTTTGATTTCTTCACCATCTTTGTAGAAAAGGTCAAATGAATTCTTCCTTTTCAAAGCAGTGTCTGGCCTAACTTAACACTTTCACAACTCCTGATTAAGGAAGCTGGCTTCTGGTTTGTAACTCAGTCAATCAAAGTAGAAGTATAAAATCATAGGGCTGGAAGGGAGGTCTCCTTGCCCAGGGGAGAAGTCCTTATATCATTGGGTCATCACATGCCATGCTCCTCCTTTGGCACTCCATTTCTTTGGAAGGTAGGCAGAGGGGGGGTGTTGTGATCATGTCTAACCCCAACCCTTGGAGAGCTTTTTCACCTGGGGATGAAGTCAGCCGCATATAATCAAAATCCAAAGCAGAAGGCTGGAAGCAGAGTCTCATGAAATGACCAACCTTTGTATTATTTATTAATATAACAATAATTAATAATATTGATATTTATTATAGTCACAGACCAGCATAAGGTTTGTAATGTATAGCCCAGATAGCCACATTTTTTGCCCATTAGCAAATGTGAAACTTGTATGAGCTTGGCAGAGTCTGCCAAAGTGTCAAGCTGCTGGCATCCTAGGAAGGATCCCCACTAGTGACTCAGCCATCGGTACGCACTAACAGTAACACATACAAATGTTAATGGCCTCAGTCATGGTTGGGATAACATTAGCAGAAGCTATACGTCACAATGAAGAAATGCTCCTAGATTACTTCCAATATGCCCCTTTCAACTTCTCCTCCTTTCTGCTTCCAGTCACTAAAACTGTCTATATGGAGAACATGTTAATAGTTATATTCTAGTTTAAACTACATCAAAACTTTTTGTGTTTGGGGGTAAAAAAACAACATATCATCTAGTGGACTGAGTTGAAGGAATTGTTATAGTCAAGTAAATTGATGTACATCAATAACTAATCATACATGATTTTGGGATGGGGAGGAAAAACATCTGAAAAAGGCCTGCCACAAATTTTAAAGACAAGAGACTGAGGATAAACAACGCCAGTGTTGTGAATTTGCCAGGAATAGAGTAAGGAAGCTCTAGTTCTCTGCAAATCTCCGGAAATATAAATTGGAATATTTTGGGCAAAGAACTCGCTAGCTCAAAACTGACTTTAATTTTGAAGCCTGTTTGATGAAGAAATGCTACCAAATGCTTCCTGTTAGTGCTGGTATTTTGTCTGAGCAGTGAGGATTTATTTTCTTGGGATTAATGTTTTGCCTGTGTGCCTCCAACCTGATTTTCTGAGTGGTCTTTCTGTTTTGTTTCTCTGGATTCTTAATTTTTTTGTTCCCTGTGATTCAGACTTAATCTTGGTTAAGCAGTTGAATCTTTCCTCCCCTGATCATCTCTAAATCGTTTACAGAGTCAGCACATTTTCCCCAACAATCTGGGTTCTCATTTGACTGACCTTGGAAGGATTGAAGGCTGAGTCAACCTAGAGCCCTTCAGGGTTGAACTCCCGGCTCTGGGCAGAGTTAGTCTGCAGTGCTGCACTTTAGCCACCAGGGTTCCTGAATATTGTATTAAAGCTTAAGTTGAACGGATTGTTCATTTTTCAGCACTCTTTGATCCTCTGAAAGAAAGAGAAATCTTGAAATTGAATTACAAGAGAAAGACATTTCAGAAATGAAGGGAGGTTTGGGGCAATCTATTACAACCTAATAGCCCCTTGCCCCTTCCCTAATAGTCAGTTTTGGATTGATGCATCGTCTTGTCATAGAACAGTGTGGCAGCTGTTTAAGATGGCAACTTTAAGATGTGTGGACTTCAACTCCCAGGATTCCCCAGCCAGCATGTTGGCTCAGCTCTGGAATTCTGGGAGTTGAAGTCCACACACCTTAAAGTTTCCAAGGTTGAGAAACAGTGCCATGGAATGATTCTGTGACATCTTAAAAGCACAGTGGCACATTCCAGAGGAGAAGGAGATACAAGACTCCCAGATTCCTATGGAATCCAGCACAATGGCATTGATATTTGCATAAAGAAATGCCAAATTTAGCCTCAGCATCTACAGGTGAGTCTGGAAACACCTTGAACTCTGGAGAACCACTGTTAATCATTGTCACTAATATTAGTGTCAATACAACTAAAATCTGAACCAGTATACAGATAGTCCTTGACTTACAATCACAATTGGGATTACTTAAAATTGCTAGGTAAGGCAATTGTTATGTAAGTCATATCCAATATTCCAACTCTTTTTGTCACAGATGTTAAGAAATCATTGCAGTTGTTAAATGTCTTATGTGGTTGTTAAGCAAATTCAGCTTCCCCCATTGACTTTGCTTGTCAGAAGGCAGATGTGAAGTTCACAGATAGTGATCACATGACTCCAGGACAGTGCAACTGTCATAAATACATGCCGATTGCCAAACACTCAAATTGATCACATGACCATGGGGATATTGCAATGGATATTGCAATAGAGCCATGGTGGTGCAGTGGTTAGAGTGCAGTACTGCAAGCTACTTCTGCTGACTGCTGTCTGTCTGCAATTTGGCAATTCGAAACTCGCCAGGCTCAAGGTTGACTCAGCCTTCCATCCTTCCAAGGTCAATAAAATGAGACCCAGATTGTTGGGGGCAATAGGCTGACTCTAAATTGCTTAGAGAGGGCTGGAAAGCACTGTGAAGCTGTATATAAGTCTAAGTGCTTATTGCTTTTGCTGTAAGCATGAAGTTTGATTGTAAATAACTTTTTTCAGTGCGGTTGTAATTTTGGTTGCTAAAAGAAGGACTGGAAGTTGAGGATTACCTATAAAGCAGTTTTCTTTGTTTTTATATTCCTGTTTTATTCTTACAAGCCAAATCCAGCCAGATTTCTGTTCAAATGCAGAGCAGTGTTCATTTGTTGTTCATCTGTTAGTCACAGCTAAAATTGTATGAGACGAAGGAAACTGGCAAAGGATTCTATTCTCCCACACAGAAGGAATGGTAATCAAAATGTTTAGATCTTATGGAAACAGTGAAACAATCTCAGGAATGCTATTAAACAATGACAGCATTTTAGCAGATAAGTGAGCTATCAGTTATGGATTTTCTTTCTTTTTTTGCAGACATAAAAGATCTGTTCACAGTATACTTTTGTTCTCAGGGTTTATACAATATTTTAGATTCAGGCATTTCACTTCTACGAACGTCTGTCACATCATAGACAGAGGCTGATTGATCCTGGCATCCGAAAAGTGACTGTATTGCAGTTCAAAAATTCATGGTTTTTTTTTAAAAAAACAGGATTAGACTTTCAGGAAATATTAAGGAGCAGAGGCAAACCTCAAAATGGTTCTTAAATTTCTCTGAAAGCTTCAAAAATGTACAAGTTTAGTTATAGAGAGAGCTATGTGCACTAACTGGCATTCTGCCTTCTAAGAATTTTTCACGTCAAATTGCTCTATCCCAATTACAGTACTATCACAAATTGTCTAAAGGAGATTTTCAATTATCCAAGTGATGGTTGTCCCAAATGTCTTTTTCCAAAAGGCAACTGGACTTTCTTGGTTTTTTTCCTTGAAAATATTTTGCTTCTCAGCTAAGAAGCTTTTTTAGTTACAAACGTCTTGGCTGAGAAGTGAAACATTTTTCGAGGAAAAAACCCCAAAAAAGTCCATTTGCTTTTTGGAAAAGCACTTTTGGGACTAATATCACAAAGGATTTTTCACAGAACAAATAGGTTTTGTTCTGCAGGAAATCTTTCTGATGAGAAACCCTCAAAGACATGCACTGGTAGCACAGGTTGATTTTGTGTGTGGACAGGTCTGTGTGCCAAATGGCCAGGTTATTCCTACCCTTCTAGCTTTGTGGGAAGTAGGTCTTCTTTACAGACACATGGCCATTGCAAGAAGTACCACAGGATAAGTCCTGCCTTCGGAAAAACTGGTGCTGCTATTAGGTGGCCTTGTAAATTTTAGAAAATCAGTGCAACCTCATCCCTAGATGGTTTTTACCAAAAAAGATGGATAGACCCATCAGCAGTAAAGCTCCAGCTTAGCTACTGGAGATCTTTGCAGCAGACCTCTTTTAATCCTTACCGTGGAGAATATTCTTTGCTTTCCTTTTGTGTCACTTGGTTTGCTGTGCTTGGCTCGGTTTCTTTTCCTTTCTCTCTTCAGAAGCGTTGATAGCCATTCTGCTTGCATGAGCCTTTCCTGTTTTTGAACCTTTGTTATTGATCTGGGAAGCTCAACACGCATTATCCCCGAAAGCTTGATAACCAGATCCGCATTCCATCCCATTGGGGGAAGAAGAAGAAAAAAAGAGCTCCACATGTTTCACCAGCTGTTTAGCAAAAACCGCCTCTTGTTTTCTTTATGAAAGTAACCCCTTTGATCATCCCCTTGGAACATCGATGTCAAAGGTCAGGACAGATATAAAGACTCTAAGAGGGACCAAATGTTAGCAGTGGGACCAGCATAGCAAAGAGGAACCTTTGTAATGCTGCATTTGGCAATGTGCAATTAAAGTATTTTCTTGGAATTCTTTTTGGCTGTGCATTTCAATGCATCACCAGATCCCTTGGCTGGGTTTCCACATTCAAACCGCATGATAGGATTGAACCAACCCACTCTCAGCTATGGACTTTGCTTTGTTTTAAAGCTAAATTACCATCTGTCATGTATGCAAATAGATTTAGAGCAGAGGTCTCCAACGTTGGCAACTTTAAGCCTGGAGGACTTTAACTCCCAGAATTTTGGGAGT